GCCCAAGTTTGTCCAAGATCTCACGCGATCCAAGATTGCCCAAGAAGTCTCAAGGTCAAGAGATCGATCCAAGAGTGGCCCAAGAGCGGCCTATTCACGCAAGCGAATGAAGGCATCTCCTATTCGTCCTCCTCATCCTTTTTTTGTCATCCTTATGCTCCTTCCTCCTCCCCCTTTCCCTCCTCCCATTTCTCCTCCACCATCCCCCTCTGTTTCAGCCCCTCCCCCTCGCCCTCCTCCCCCGCCACTCCACCTCATCATCCAATGTATCATCCTCCTCCTCTCCTTCCTCCTCCCCTGGTGGGAATACGCGAAGCGTCCGCGATTGCGACATATCCAGGGAACTCCTATTGTTCTTAATGACGCTGGCCCTGTCGCAATCTTGCTGAAGCAATGGGTCGGCCTGCTTCAAGTGGTCCCAAATGGCCTCGGTGCAAGCGGCGTTGCGCATCTTCAAGATCTGATCGAAAAACGCATTTGTCGCCAGAGGCGATTGGCTCTTGGCGGGGTTGGGCACAGATATAATTTTTTGCAGCTGCCTATCCGCTCTCGACAGCTCCACGAAGAGCCCCCCTGCCGTATGCATCACCGCCCTCGGGACCCATGGCTCGCGATCCTTAAGGCCGCCCCCCTCGATGACCGTGCGGAGCTGCACGCTCACTGCCATCTGCAGCTGCAGTGCGTGCGCAGATGCAGCGTGCACTCGCTTGGACACAGCCAAACGCCAGCGGGCCGATGCAATGGACAATTGCAGACGAGTCCGATGCGTGTTGACGCAATGATGCAACGATTGCAGAGGAACGATACCGACGATGCTTTCATACATTTCACAAACACCCCCCACGACACATGGTATGTGTAACCGATGCTGCCAACACGCGAGCCTCATCGCTTCCTGGCCTTCTTAGCCGCGGGCGCAGCAGGCACATCGTCTACCTTGCGCTTGGGCATGAGCGATGCCAGCTGGGCGCTAAGGACATCGCCCTTGTTGATGGCGCACTTGTTTGTCAAAATTGGTACATACACTGATGGGGCAGCTGTAGACTTGACGGTCTTGAGCTTCATGTTGGGGGCGCCGTGCTCACCTGAATCCTGCACGAGCCAGAAGGGGATGACGAGCGAAGACGGTGCCTGCTTCAGCCCTCCAACGCCAGTGTTCGTCTCAGCCTTAGGCATCTTGATGCCACCACTGGGGGCAAACACGATATTGAACGTCAATCCCTTGGGGTCCTTGTATGTCTTCATGAACACATGCCCACACTGAACTATATCAGTCTGCTTCTTCAAGTAGATTGCCGAAGAGAGTGGGACAAGCACCAGCTCTTCAGCCTCAAACGAACGCGTTACGGTGAGAGCACGAAGCTTAACAGGCGTAACCACGCCACTCAAGTACTTGAGACAGTTGCCGTTCTGGCTGTATACATCATCCAAGGCCAGCCTGATTTTGGCCTCCTCGATACCCCACTGGTAATCGACAGACTTGAGGGGGCCATGATCAGCGAACTTGTCGATCGTTTCCTCTATGGGGGAGCAGCGGGAACAAAAAAAGATGAGACATGACGACGCAGAGCCAAATGAGATGAGGGAACGACGAACGAGAATTCAAAGGTGTGGGGGTGTATATGCATTCCACATGCATTGCGACGAGGTCGCAAGACTATCCTTCATAATCGTGGACACGACGAACTTGCCACGTAAGAAGTCGTCGATGGGGTGGCATGTCGCACTGCCCGTGGCCTGAAGCTTCAACTTCACGCCAGTCGCAGCGTCGATGGAGATCAGCTCGTACATGTTCTCACCCAAGGTGTCGCTCGCCAAGGCGACTTTGGCGCCAACCTCAAACCCCTTGTCACTGAGCTTGTCCACTTGGTTCGACCACTTGCCCGAAGCGGTGTGCTCTTTCACGTCTGAGCTACGCGCCTGCCCTGTCACGGCTTTGGATGCGCCCTCGCGACCGATCTGCTTCCATGGGCTAGCAACTGCTTTGCCAACGTGCGTTGCCAACGCAGTGGTGAAGCTGACCCCGATGTCATTCAGCGTCTTGCAAGTGCCTAAGCGCTCATCGGGCTTGTTGAACACGAAATGAACTACGCGAACGTCAGTCAATCCCACGATGGTGCCGTAGGCGACCGTGTCTGCCGTGATGCCCTCACCGCGTGCGATCTGTCGCACTTTCTGAGGAAATTCATCGGCCACCATTACAATCGTAGACTTCTTATCGCTCGACAAGGCGGTCACGTCGCCTGGCTTCAAAAGCATCTGATGGCCATCCCTCGCGAACTTACCCGTCGCGCATGTCATCGCCTTCATGCATGCGAGCTTGAATGTCGCAGCGGCCCCCTCATGCTTGATCTGCACCTCGGCGAGAGACTTCGCCATTGAACCCGTGACCACGCACTGGGAGGTCAGCTGCCGCGAGAAGCCGCGAAGCTCGTTCAGAAAGATCGGGTTGCCGAGGCCGCCAGACAACTCCTTCACATTTTTTACTAAGCCATCGATCTCCCCAGGAAAGAGAGAGCCTGCGCGAGTCGCCTCGCGGATCACACTATCCCAATCGATCATGGTGCCACCCGTGTGGTGTCGGTTGGCAATTGCTGCGATCTTGTACATGAGACTCATGCGAGACTCGCATCTGGCAATTTGTTGGCCTGCATTGCCAGCCTCCTGAGCAAGATTACTAATCCACGGGAACTCCTTCACGAACTCGTACCGAAAGACCTTCCACTCAATTCCTTCGTCACGCGCCTTAGCGTAGTCTGGTTGAACCTCCCGTAACCTCGTCAGTGACAATTTCCCTTGGTGCGAGATTCTGTCGAAACGCTCTGGCATGACCGTGGGTGCTGGGACCCCTGCGTTGATGCAACGCAAACCCATGGATGTGTGGCCGCACGTATAGGATGCGAACTTTGCATCGCAATCATACTGCGGCAGCTGGCCCGCTGAGTCCTCCATTATTTTGAAATTGAAGTTCTTGATTGCATTGTGCTCAGGCGTGCCCACTGGTGGAAGTTCCATGCAAGCTGGATTCTGGAGGGCTGAGTTCTTGAATCCATTTTTGAAGATCTTGGAAATCAAATCCATAACCTCGCTCGGAATGATTCCATCTCCGTAACGATTCTCTGTGCACACCATCATATACTTCGAGTGTATGTTTTCTACCCTCAGGCAGTCTATGCCTCTTGCAATGCTGCGTACGTCTTCAAGTAATGAGACCACCGCTGCATCAGGATGCAAGTACATGTCCTTGATGGCCATCATCTTGGGGCGGACCTCCGCGATCTGCTGTTCACGGGAGGCGTTCATCACGACGCGTGCAGGAGGACGCCACAAGCGCCAGCAGCAATCCTCGCCCAAACGGCTGGAGCCCAAACTCTAGTGACATTCAAAAACATGTGCAACAGAGGGTTGCGAATTCGAAAAGATATGTTGCATTTGCAATGCACAACATTCTTGTAACGCTCGATACAATATTCTGAATGCGTTCGCACGCAAGTCTGGATCATGATTTCCGATTTGCGTGATCCCGAAAATCCAAACACATGCATGCGTTTCTGGAGGCAACATCCAAGGAAAACCCGATGCAGCAGCTCTGTTTTCACGTAAGCATGTAAAAGTTAGCGAAGTTAGCAACTTCGCAAACTCAAGCTATCTACCTCCAAATGCACCGCCCGAGTTAGCCGACTTAGTAACATTACTAATGGTTATAACTTACTTGCAACCTAGTTGCAACTTACTTATAACCTACTTACATGTGCTGCTAACAATTAGTAAGGCCGAGGGCCTTCAGGTGGGCTCCTCTGGGCACCTCCCCCGGGGCCGGTTTTGTGAGGATGTCTCAAGCGAGGGCGCCGGTTTGGGATTCGTCACTGGATCCAGCGGATCCAGCGGATCCACCGGATCTGTCCGGAAACGGTGCCGGAGGCCGCTCTGGGCTCCTCTGGGCACCTCCCCCGGGGCCGGTTTTGTGAGGATGTCTCAAGCGAGGGCGCCGGTTTGGGATTCGTCACCGGATCCAGCGGATCCAGCGGATCCAGCGGATCTGTCCGGAAACGGTGCCGGAGGCCGCTCTGGGCTCCTCTGGGCACCTCCCCCGGGGCCGGTTGTGTGAGGATGTCTCAAGCGAGGGCGCCGGTTTGGGATTCGTCACCGGATCCAGCGGATCCAGCGGATCCACCGGATCTGTCCGGAAACGGTGCCTGAGGCCGCTCTGGGCTCCTCTGGGCACCTCCCCCGGGGCCGGTTTTGTGAGGATGTCTCAAGCGAGGGCGCCGGTTTGGGATTCGTCACTGGATCCAGCGGATCCAGCGGATCCACCGGATCTGTCCGGAAACGGTGCCGGAGGCCGCTCTGGGCTCCTCTGGGCACCTCCCCCGGGGCCGGTTTTGTGTGGATGTCTCAAGCGAGGGCGCCGGTTTGGGATTCGTCACCGGATCCAGCGGATCCAGCGGATCCACCGGATCTGTCCGGAAACGGTGCCGGAGGCCGCTCTGGACTCGTGCTCTTCGCGCCGGGGGGTGAGGATGACGTGAGTTCCACAGAAACTCCCTCAAATTATCATTATCATCATTATTATTATCATTATTATTATTATTATTATTATTATTATTATTATTATTATTATTATTGTTATTATTATTAGTATTATTATTATTAGTATTATTAGTATTATTAGTATTATTAGTATTATTATTATTATTAGTATTAGTACCATTATTAGTATTATTATTATTATTCCTCCTCCTCCTCCTCCTCCTCCTCCTCCTCCTCCAGCTGCAGCTGCAGCTGCAGCTGCAGCTCCAGCTCCAGCTCCAGCTCCAGCTCCAGCTCCAGCTCCAGCTCCAGCTCCAGCTCCAGCTCCAGCTCCAGCTCCAGCTCCAGCTCCAGCCCCATCTCCGGCTCCGCCTCCTCCTCTCCTCCTCCTCCTCCTCCTCGTCCTCCTCCTCGTCCTCCTCCTCCTCCTCCTCCCCCCCTTGGTGGTGGCACGCCCGCACTGCGCTGTCGACCTCTCCGAGGACGTCCAGGCCTGGCGCAGGGCCCCGAGCCTGCGCGCGCTCGAGGTCTGCGCGCGTGAGCCCCGGCTTGATCAGCTCTCCCGTGGGCTCCCCCAGGATCTTGGTGCCGATGCCGACGCCCTTCGTCATCCACGCCGGCCTGCCGCGGCGGCCGCCGTCTTCGTCGTCGTCTTCGTCGTCTTTGTCGTCGTCGTCGCCGCCGCCGCCGCGGCCGCCTCCGCCCTCGTAGCTCCCCCGTGGACTCCCCCAGGTGTTCAAGGGCCAGCGATGGCCCCAGAAGCCCACCCAAGCCAAGAAACTTAGTGCCACTTCGATCCTCCCAGGATCTTGGCACCCATGCCGAGCGAGAGAAGACAGACACGACCCTTCGTTCTGACACATCTCCTGCACGTGACTTGGCTTGACCTTCGCCGGCCCTGAAATTTTGCTCGCCTTTGGGCCTGCCCTTGACTCCTGCGAGTGTTCCAGGTTTGTCACCAGTTGAAGCGGTGCCCTGGTGCTTGTTTTTGTCCACGGGGAGGCTCGCCGCGGGCTCCCCGAGGGCACCTCCCAGATCGCTGGGGCGCCTCGGCGCATCCCGCTCCACGCACCCATCCCATGACACCTCGCTCGCGCTGCGCAGGCGTATCCACGAAGCGCCCAAAGCGTCAGACGCCAAGAGGATGCTAAAGACCCTCGCGCACGAACTGGCCTGCTCCAGAAGCCCTGAATCTGGGCACGCCGCCGGCACTCCGCCGGCGAAGCCACTCCGCAGGGCCGATGACACTTCAGCTGGCCTCCGCCGAGGAAGAGATGTCAACTTCTGGATCTCCCGAGCGCGAGGCGACGACTCGTGGACCGCCCCGCGCATATGGGCCCGCCCCCTGGTGCGAGCGAGGTGGCTTGAGGTGCCTCCCGGGCGTCCTGCGCCGTGGAACTTGAGCCAAAATGGCTAGGAGGAGGAGGAGGAGGAGGAGGAGGAGGAGGAGGAGGAGGAGGAGGAGGAGGAGGAGGTGGAGGAGGAGGGAGGAGCAGGAAGGTGAGAGGAGGGGAGGAGGGAGGAGGAGGAGGAGGAGGAGGAGGAGGAGGAGGAGGGAGGAGGAAGGAGGGAGGAGGAGGGACGATTGACGTGGCTTGGCCTGCCTCCCTTCACTCGTCATCCCCCCCGGCCTGCCGTCGCGCTGCGCGCCCTCCAAGCGCCCCAGCGGCTCGCGAGCGGTCTCGGCCTCGGGCACTCGTGCGGGAGGGGGGGGTAGGAGGAGGGAGGGGGAGAGAGGAGGAAGGAGTTCTTTGGATAGACCGCGCTCGTGGGGCCCGACAGACTAGAAGGGGGGCCCCAGCTTGAAGCTACCCCCCTCCCCCCTTCCTTGCTAAAGGGGGGGGCGGCTTCGGAAGCTCCCCCCCCCTCCCCCCCCCCTTTTCGTGGCCGGAAAAGGTGGGGGGGTTCCAAGCTACCCCCCCCCTCCCTCACTTTAATTGAGCCGGGGTGAGCCACCCCCCCCTTTGAAAGGGGGGGGGGGGGCTTCGGAAGCTACCCCCCCCCCCTCCCTCTTTTTCATGCCGGAAACGGAGGGGGGGGTGGCTTCCAAGCTATCCCCTCCCTCCCTCCTTTTAATGGAGCTGGGGTGAGCCCCCCCCCCCCCTTGGAAAGGGGGGGAGGCTTTGGAAGTCCCCCCCCCGGGCTTGAAGCCCCCCCCCTCTCCTCTTTGGCTCGTGTGGGGGACGTGAGAGGAGGGAGGGAGGAGGATTGTATGGCAATGGATTGGACTTGCGATTGCAATCGGTTGAAGTGCAATCGATTGGATTGAAATCGATGTGAATGCAAGGGAAGGACAGGAGGGAGGGGAGGGATGGAGGGGAGGGAGGGGAGGGACGGAGGAGAGTCAGGGGAGGGAGGGGATGGAGGGGAGGAGGGGAGAGGCCGGGAGGGGGATTGCATTGCAATGTATTGCATTTGATAGGATTGGAAGCGTTTGCATTGCAATAGAATGGATTGCCTCGTTCGTTGGTTGTGGACCACTGCCGCTCAAGCTTCCGAACAGATTGCCGAGCAGGTGAGCAAGTATTTATTGTGAGACGAGGCAGGTGCCGACTGTGCTTCCCCAGTCCAAGCACTTCTTCTTGGGGGGGCTTGCCTTGTCTCAACCATCCCAGTGCCTCGCGGTTATATGCCATGAGGGCCGCCGGGCCGAACAGAGCGACCTGGCATTCCATGCTCAAATCGCGAGGCTCCGATTGCACCCAACATCTGCAAAACCCACATGAGGTGAAGCGACCTTTGCTCCAAGCGGCGCGGTTGTCACGCACCTGTGCCCGTGGACGGAAGGTGGAGGAAACAAACTCGAGAGGGGGTCGGCGAATTCAAGCCTACACCAAAGGTCATCATCGATTGGTGCTTTGCCGACCTGCGAGCCCACCACCAGTCGCCTTCGAGCCCGCTTTGGGTACTCGGGCGTGGCGTGCGCAGATGACCGCACACTGCGAATGAACCGTGCGGGAAAAACCATCGAGCTGTGGTCGCACCAGCTTGCTGCAGGCTTCGCACATGAGGAGGGATGAGGAGGCAGAGGAGAAAAAGAAGGACCAACAAATGAGATGTACGATAAAGGCGGATGTTCTTCCGAGGACGGATCAATTATAGCGTGCATTAAACCGAGAATAAGGCGGGCGCGGAGGGGTTCCTGCTCACGCCAAGCGGCGGCGGAAAAGCAGTAGCCCCCCACCCCCCTTACCCAACAAGAGACAAGGCTGGACAGGCAAGGGGGGACGATTGGACAGAGGCAGGGCAACTAGTGAAGATGTGCCGTTCGAGTCTGTTGCTCAACCGAGTCTATTGTGCCTCGTCGGCAATCTGTGTACGAACCACCCAAGCCACCGCCGAAACACGACAAACTGGCTGCGCTATGGGCGGCAACAGTAGACGATTGAATAGAGCACCCTTCATCCACGTGCGTGCTCGACTTTTCACTCGCCCATTGCTCCAGGGATGAACTTCCCGGAAGCAGCCCTCTCACCTGCCCGCCTCTCGTCGCCTATAGCCCACATGGGCTCGATGGAGGTCGGGCGACGAACCTGGGTCATCCACGTCCTTTGTGAGGATGCTGGTTGGGAGCTGGGCACGAACGTCCCGTGCCGTTCCTTGCTCAGCTCGGCGATGTTGTCGTCGTAGCTGGGCTGGCGGTTCATGATGTCCAGGGCCCGCTCTCGACCGACACCCCCTCGGTCACGCGGTCTGCTCGCATGTCGCGAACGTCGCACCAGAGCACGTCTTCAACCTGATCGGTGAAGAGATGATCTGGTGACCACCATAGATGGCCTGCCATGCTGTTCTCAGACGGAGGCCGCACAGGATCCATGGCCTTTGCCGCGAAGACAGATGGTACAGCGTAGACTCCATTCTCTCACAGCTTCCTGACCTCGTCGGCTGAGGCTGGCCCAAGGACCATATCGCGGAGACTCGGGCGGCGGGCTTGCAACCCATCGGCTGCGCCGCAGGCCGCGAGCAGCTCGGAGTCAAATGCTGATCTGCACGCGAGCTTGTGCGATCGGCTCACTTCGTCGAGCAAGCGGCGCGCCTCCTTGCCCCAGCGCATGTAGACGGCGCCTCGCATGCCGTGCCCGGTCTCCTCCTCCCTCATGAAGGGGCCGTCGCTGCGTGTGCAGAGCTGGCCAGCGCATTCCATGGCGGAAAATGCGATACGTGCCTCGGTCTTCTGCGTGGCCAAACTGCATTGAGCTGCGCCACGCGGCGCATGCGCGGCGTGCTCTTGGCTCTCTGCAGTCCCCGATGCACGTCGCGACGCGGCGCCGGGCGAGCGGGGCGCACGCTGCCGCTCCCGGCAGGGAGACGGAGAGGTCTGGAAGTTGACCTCCGGCCGGCTTGTTGGCCTTCGCCATGGCCAGGCCGACGCGCCTGGTCGGTGCCATGGCGTCGACGTGCCCGTCATGGTCGAGCGCCGCTGCGTCGTCGGCGCCGCGGTCTCGGCGAACGCCGCAGTTGGTGGAATCGTCGCAATCGCCGTTCATCTTGCCGAAGACACTCTCGATATGGCCACTAAGTCGGTCAAGGTGCTCTCTGCGTCCAGCGATCTTCAGACCGTCAACGCGCCTGGACAGCATGGGCACTAGCCTCGAGTAGCCGGCGCCAGAGGCACCGGGCACCTCGCGCTGGACCTCAACTCGGGGCCCCACCCAGCAGCGCTCTGGCGAGCGCGTTGCCCGGGCGAGCTTCAGAAGGCTCCCGGCCTGATGCAGCACAAGCATTCGGTCCGCTCGTCGGGAAACTTGTAGCTTGGCGCCTGCGTGAGGCCGGCTACACTGCCAGGCGGCAGGGTGGAGTTCACCTCGCGCGGTGCTTCACCTTGCTCCTGCATTTCGGCATAGCTCACGCCCTGCAGCAAGACCTTCTCGACGTCCACCACGGCGACGTAGGCCCAGTCTGGGCGACGCGCCGCCTCCGAGGACAGCATGCGCTGCAAAGCGCGCTCCGCTGTTCCCGCGAACGTCTCCAGGGCGCCAGCGCCCGTGTCAAGGAGACCTTGGGGCGCAATCGGCACCGGATGATCCTCGCGGTCTTGCCGCCGGGCCCCTTCCGGCGCCGCCGCTTGAAGACGCGCCTGGAGCCCGCGACGTTTCGGTCGCCCTGGGGCGGTCGCCTCTCGAAGCGCTTGTGCGTGACCCAGATGGTGAGCTCCGCGAGGATGGCTGCTGACACCTCCTTCGACAGCCTGGGCACATCCTCCGCGATCAGGAGACCGGCGTCGAGTTTGACGGCCGCGGTCCTGACGGCGCCGCGCGCGTTGAGCGCGGATGTCCGGGAATCGCCAGCAACGTCGTTATCGGACGCTTGATCGTTGAAGCTGAGGAAAGTTTTGCGCACTCCTGGGTCGAGGTGCAACTTCGCGCGTCGTCCTCCTGTCCCCCTCGTCTAGCGGCTACCGTGGCGTAGTCGCGCGTGGCGAGCACGGGCAGGTAGTGGTGGCGCTGCGCGTAGATGTCCTGGCGCTGGCGCTGCGTCTCGAAGCGCGGGGGCCGCCCGCGTGGCTGGCGGCCAAATCTGGGCGCGGCGTGCTCGACAGCGGCGTAAATCATCTGCCGGCTGCCGTCGTTCTCCAGCTCCTCCAGCTCTTGGGTCAGACATTCTGCCCCTTGAACTTCGCGCCAAGCTGCCGACGTCACCTGCTGGGTGTGGCTGGAGATGTCGCTGCCGGTCTCCTCTGGTACAGCCGTCAGTGCTGTTGGGGATACTCCATCAGCGGTGCTGGCAGCGTCTTCTGGAACGTCGACAACATAATCATCGAGCGCTCCATCGGGATCTTGTCCTGCGCCTGCTGCCGCAGACGTCTCGTCATCCAGCGTGAACTGGACAACGCGAGCTTCCTTTCACTGCTCGCCAGTGAGTGCATGGGCGTCGAACCTGACGCCGTCGAAGTGAACATGTTGAACATCGCCTGGAGTATGAGGGGGCCACCAGATGACCAGGCTGCGGGCGCAGCCCATTCAGTCACTCACGGATTTCTGGCCGCGTAGCAGACGCATGGCACGAACGCCTGGCAACTGAAAGCGTATGCGGGATAAGTGGCGCAGAGTTTCGAGGATGTGTGGGCGTTGCCGCGTCTGCACGGTGATCTGCACCCCCTCGCGTCCTCCCAGTGGCCGAAAGTCTTGGCGCCGGACCAGGGCACGAGGTGCCCCAGAAGTCCTCCACTCGGGCCCGGGCCAGGCCGGCTCGCGCCAAGCCGGTGCCCATGTCGTCGAAGACAACACCGATGAAGGGCCAGACGTCCTGCAGTCTGCAGATCAATCACGTCGGCTCGGCGGTACTTGGCCGCCACCTTTCCTCGAGCCGGGTCGACAGACGTGACAATCCCAGGGCCCGCCCAGCCTGTCACGTACTTCGAGCTCGGAGGCGTGTGCATCTCCACCTGCTCGACAACGTTGGAGCGACCCTCTCTGGATTCCGTGGCGCGTGTCCGGAAGGCGCGGCTGACGCAGGAGATGGGCGTAACCTCGATCATGCGTTGCAGTGCGATCTCACGGATTCGCCGCCCCAGTCGGCTGGGCTGCACCTTCCCCCCAGCAGAAGGGCTGGCACAAGCAACGGAGTCGCCGGATGCCTCACCCGCTTCGTCTGCTTCATGTTGGCAGCATAGATGGCTGCCTTCCGAACACGACGTTGCACGGTGTAACGCCGCCAACGTGGGGTGAGGCTGTTGCATGCGAGTAT